AGCCGGCCAGGAGGACTACGACCGCCTGCGCCCCCTCTCCTACCCGGACACCGACGTGATCCTCATGTGCTTCTCTGTGGACAGCCCGGACTCGCTGGAGAACATCCCGGAGAAGTGGGTGCCCGAAGTCAAGCACTTCTGCCCCAACGTCCCCATCATCCTGGTGGCCAACAAGAAAGACCTGCGCAACGACGAGCACGTGCGCAACGAGCTGGCCCGCATGAAGCAGGAGCCGGTGCGCACCGAGGATGGCCGCGCCATGGCCATTCGCATCCAGGCCTACGACTACCTGGAGTGCTCGGCCAAGACCAAGGAGGGCGTCCGGGAGGTCTTTGAGACTGCCACCCGGGCTGCCTTGCAGAAGCGCTACGGCACCCAGAACGGCTGCATCAACTGCTGCAAAGTGCTATAGGGCGCGGCTGGAGCGCGGCGCTGGGCACGGCGCCCGGGTCACCCGTCGGCAGGCAGAGAGGAGCTGGGTTGCGCACGCACGCGACGTCTGTCTGTCCCCTCTGCTGGGGGCTGGCGATGAGTCGAGGTGGGGGCTAAGGCCTTGGCTGAAGAGGGTTGTGCTGGCTCAGCCGTGGGGACAGAGGGAGGGGGGGAATTGCATGCCCTGAGTATTGGGAATAACGTGGGGGAGAAGCCTTCTCCTGCCATCGGCCCCTGTGAGTTAATGGCAGACTCGACAACAAAAAGCTGCTGCGACTGGACTGAGCGAACGCTGCACCCGGCTCTTCCCCTTTGCCTACCACCTGCTGCTCCCAGCTCCTGGGCAGCCTCCTCTCTTTTGCAAGAGGAGAGTGATGGAGCTGCGACGCTCGAAGGGACTTCTGCCTCCTGCCCGCATATGCCTCCCCCGGGATGGCTGGGGAAGGGGACTGCATCTCCCGGGGGTCTTTCGGCCAGAGCCTGACCTGTGGTGGATGTTAGTGCCCTGAAGGCAGAGACTGGGAGGGGAGGGTCGTCCCAAGCGAAGCCTTGTATATATCTTACCTTTTCTGTCTTGTGCAAACTGGGGTAGTGCAGGGGGTGCTTATTTAAAGTGAGGTGGGGAGGGGGTGCCCAGCTGGGACTTGTGTTGTGCAAAGGAACTTGCCCTGAGTGACTGATAACCTGCTGATAACGCGAGCCTTGAACCGATTCCAGCTGCAGAAGCCCTCGGGCTGGAAAGTCAAGCTGAACTGACTGTTCTGTCCTCCTTGCTGGACATCCTCCTGAGGGATGAGGCAGGATGAGCAAGGGGGAAGGGATGATATTGCCATATTATGATCTTGGTGCCTGCTCCTTCCTTTAATGTTGTCTTTCTGCAAGTATGTTGATTTGGGTTTATTTAAAAAATTTTTTATTTTCAAAAGAAATTACTTTGCACAACTTGGTGGGGTTTTGTTTCTTAAATTGAATGCTCAATGCACTTGTCATCTGCATACAACACTGTAGCATGGGAAACGTTCTTACTCAGTAACTTCATCTGGGTCTTGTTTTAAATTGTGATTTCCACACAAGACAAAATCAAACCACTGTATCTTTCTGCCTGGGGAAAAAAAAATGGGTGAGAGCACTGTTGCCTCTGCAGTGAGTACATCAGACACCAATGCTAAAGGGCAATTTAAAGAATCTGGGTTTATTTAAAACTTTTCACTCGGGTTGGCTACCCTGTGAAAATCTTGTGTTTCTCTGGTTCAGAGAACAAATGTATCCATTTCTGTTTGTTTACTTTTCCTCCCTCTTCCCTCAACAGTGGTACTGAGACTGTTCTCTGGTTTTGTTTTTAATAAACTGACATGGCAAAAACTGAGATGTATATGATGTTTACATAAAATTATGAACTGTGTATGCAGTTTTTTTATGTAAAGTATTAAAAGATTCTATGCTGACACTTCTGAGAGCAGTGTTGTAATTTATGGAGACCCCCCCTCAGCTTGCAGCACTACCCCTGGATGGTGCTCAACTCCAACAGAGGTTTGCCCACTGCATGCGTGCGGTCCTATATGTATTTTCTCCACTGGCCAAACTACCTGTCTGGCAGTTTTCAGAGGAATGGTGGTTGGATTTTCCTTGGGGGGAGCTGCTTCCTTAATTTTCTCGTACGGATGGCAGCGGAAGTGTACTGAAAATACAAGGTGGTGACTAATCCACCCTTGATGCTGCAAAGTGCAAGGAGCCTCTCTGCCTTGTGCATGGGGGAGCTCTGGCTCCCGGTGCTCCTTTGCCCCATGGCCTCGTGTAGCAAAACCCAGAGAACTTAAAAATAGCAGAAGCTTATTTTTCAAACAACATTTTGATGAAAGCAGGTCGTTATTAGTGACCTCCCCTATGCGGACAGGCTTGGCTTGCTGTTGAGCCAGCAGCAGGAGGCTACGCTCACACTGCAGAGATCTCGTTAATTCCTGTAGGAAGTGTAGGTCTCTCCGTGTTGGGAATCCCATGGACAGATGCAGACATCCTGCCTGCTTCTTCCCTCACGGACTCTCTGCTCCCAGGCGTGCTCCCTGCCCTAGGCAGGCAGGAGCGGGCGCTGCCCGCAGCGGCAACCCCGGGCAGAAGAGGTGGCCTGGTGCGAACCATCGCGTGGTTTTCGCTGAACAATGAGGTTTATGCACGAAGTGCTGATACCTCTTCCCCCTGGCCCCCCCTTTTAATTTTTTTCACACTTTTTTTTTCCCCCCATGAAAAAAATCCCTTAGTTACCTGTAAGGGAAATCTCAGGAGAGTTTTATATTTCTGTAAATCCTCTCAGCTCCTTTTGCGTAGGTGTGAGAAAGGAGTCCAGCCTTTTGTTTTTCTAGCCTATGAATATCTGCCAGGAAGCACCGGATTGTTCAGAGGTGCTAGCAAATACCAAGGCAAGCAAAACACATTTAGTGGCTTTTGCTTGTTCGTTGAGAGAGGGCTCTGCCTGCTGCCGGCTGAAAGCAGTGGGGCTTTTTTGGCAGACTAACGCTGAAATAGTGGGCTCCTTGTTCCACAACTGGAAAGCCGGTCAGACAGAGTGCAGAAATACCTGGATTTGCATTTTTCCAGTGCTAGAGTCCATGCTGTGAGTTTATTGTGCTGTTTCCTACGATCTTTATGGAAGACAGTGACATTTTCACTTGGACAATATAGCCAGGATTTCTTAACAGGTACCTGAGTCCCAGGTTTGGGTGTCTATCTCCAGGGATTTCAATTCTCCCAATATTCAAAGAGTGAGATTATCTTCAATTTGAGAATCCTAAAATAACTTTTTGGTCCTAAAACATCCATTGAAAAAAGTGTAAGTTTTGGATGTTTAAAGGGTCATGGCCGAAGACGTCATTCTTGCAGAGGCACTCCAAGCCTGGTTCTGTGCAGCGCAGCGCTGTTCTGTGCAGTATCAGCCAGTGATGTTAAAATCAGCGCTGGAAACTTCTTCCTTGAACTAATTGCAATAGTTGCAAAACTTACAAATTCTGTCAGACTGCATCAATAACTAATCATCCCAAAAGCCCAAAGGAGAAAGTGTTAATATTTGTATTTAAAACACTGGGAAATGAGTTAGCATTGCATCCCTGCATAATTAACTATACCGATATTTTCCATTAAGGTGCTTACAAGGTAATTGCATTCATTATTTCCAGTTGGACCTTTGCCCAAGTCAGGGCTACAGCTTCTGTACCAAGGGGGAAAAACTGTAAGACAACACATTTCAGTTTTAACTGAGCGTGACCTTTCTCTGCTGCTTGTGAAGCTGTGACTAAGCTGGCAGGGTGAGATCACCGTGTGGGAGTCCACCCGACGGGGTCAGCTGGTGGGATCAGAGCCATAACGTGCTTTGCTCTACGCGTGCTCGTTAGTCTCACCACTTTGGTGGAGGGGCACTCGAGGTGTGGCTCATCCCACCTTCCTCGACTCAGCCGTGCTGACACGGCCAGGCTGACACCCCAGGCCCACACCTTCTGTGGTGTGAGGATGTTGCACCGACCGCCTCCACCCCACGGCTGCATCTGCCCAAGTTTAACGTGAAGGGTCTGCCCACGGCCGGGGCCAGCCACGTGCCTGAGGTCAGGGCAGGCTACCCAGGACCCACACCATCGGACAAAGGGTTGGTTTCGTGCGGACCTCACCTTGCTTGTCGTCATCTGGTCCCCTAGCTCGTGTTCATTGGGTCCCAGCCTGTCTCTGTAACCTTGTGGTTGGAGAAGAGTTGAGAGGGAGCAAGTCAGAGCATCAAAGGACGGCCAACAAGCAACTTATGTCACAATCCCCGTGCACACTGCTGGGGACGCAGAGACTTTCCCGGCTATGCCCACACAGATGTCCCCAGCTGAGGAAAGGTTGCACCTTCCCTTACCCTGTTCAGACCAAGTTCAACCTTTGCAGAAGGTGTTCGTTCTGGTGGGAGCCAGAGCAGTTTGTCCCGTGGTGATCCAGTGCAACCTTAGCAGCAAATCCTGGAGGTGTAGAAAAGCCCCACTGGAAGGCCCATTTGTTTCTGTGGTTCTGAGTTCAAGGGAGACGACCACCTACGCACTCCCACCCCGAGACTGGGTTGGGCCCTCGGGCAGTGTGAGGGTGTCTCGTCTGGGCAGCCTGAAAATGAAGCCACCCAGAAGGTCAGTACCAGCTTCTGCCCTTCTGGAGATACAGCCACGGCAGCTCTGAGTGGTCCTCGCGTGGTCAAATGGGGACTCTGTTTAGAAAGCATTCTCAGTAGGGTGTGCCAAAAAAAGGATGAATCACCTTTGGTGGGAGAAAGACATCAGTAAAACATTTTGGTTGTTTTGGCAAAAATGGTTTTTAATGCACTTACTACACATTGAAATGAAACTGCATGCTTTTGCCTTTTTTTTTTTAAACTCTCAGGCAACTCCACATACTACAGTGGAGTTGCACAAGTGTAAGTGGGAGCAGACTTTGAAACAATGTCCCCTTATATGGCTTTCTGATTTTGTAGCAATAATTTAATTTAGCTCCATTTGCCCTACAGGTGTCAGACAGGTTTCAGGCCTGTTTTAGCAATTCAATAAAGAATGGACACAAACTTGCTGCAAGAAGAAAGAAAAAAAAGTACTTTGAGGAAGTTCACAAGTGTTTTACTAGAATCGGTGTCACTGATGTCACTCACAGATTTTATTCCTTGACTTCAGAAAGGGAAAGATACCTGGTTTCATCCTTCAGATGTTAGTGGACTGTAGCACTAGTGAATCCAGTTTTTCTGGTTTTGCTGGTTCTGTAACAATATCTATTCATACATAGAAAATGCATTAATTATCATTGAGCTAACTTAAAACATCTGCCTAAGACAAGCCATTTGCCCCTGCAGGTCCAAAGCACCGTTTGCAGTCGAGCTAACCTGGTCTGTGCGTGAAGATACGGATGCTCCAGGTCAGCAACCCAAAGCCTTCTTCACAGACAGGCAGCCAGCAGAGACAGTGGGCTGCAGGAAGCTGATCATCTACTTCAAGGAAGCTTTTGAAGGAGTGCTTAGATCCATTGCTGGAGAAGTCTCTGTGAAACCTTGTGGAGCTCATTGTGGATATCTTCAGATGTGGAGTCCAGGAGGAGAAGGTTTTCAGATCACGCCAGCAGTCTCAGAGTTAATATATATCATGTAAGCTCATTGTCCAAGGTCCCTTCACAGCCAGCAGGCAGAAAGGCAGCTCCAGAGGACCTCTCTCCAATGTCTGGGAAGGGGCATCCTCACCTTCTGGAAGGGCTTGCAGGTGAATGTCTTCAGGATGTCTTCAAGGCCAGCCTGGATGTGGCTTTGAGCAGCCTGGTCTAGTGGAAGGTGTCCCTGCCCATGGCAGGGGGGTTGGAACTAGGTGGTCTTTAAGGTCCCTTCCAACCCAAACCATTCTGTGATTCTATGAAGCTGTGTGATAGAAGCTTTGCCAACACCTCTGCCTGCTCACTTCCCACCAGGCTGGCTCA